GGAAGGGCCCTGCAGTAAAGGGAGCTATCTCCAGCTAAAGGCAGGAATACTGCATCGTAAAAGAATATTCTGTTTAGAAATGTCAGAATCCTTCTGTGAACTGTACAGTGATGGTAGTAAACCTGATCACACAGGGTCCCAGGAAAAGTCGTATTCTTTCACACCACCAAAGCCTTTTCTTCCAGCCTGCCAGACAGCAGCTCTGCAGTTGCACCCAAATCCAGACCTGAGATTCCTTTCCCCTTTGACAAGGAACTAAGAGCCATCCGTCTCCTAACAGGGGGGTCTGCCATCGGTAAAGCCAGCTCCCAGGAATGAGCTGGGGCAGGCGGGAAAGAACAGGACCTGGGACGTGAACATCACTCAGCTCCTGGAAGTCAGGCACACACTGCCAGCTGCTCCCCATTACAGCACCCTCTGGAGAGCCCGCCCTGCCCTCGAGGGGCCCCGTGCCACACTACCCGGGCCAGAGCAGGTTCCCAGCATCACCATACGGGAAGGCTGTGCCTGGCAGCATGGTGCTGACCTGCTGAGAAGGTTGCAGTGCCCACTGCTCTCACCATTTCTCACTTCTCAGTGCCAGGGCTGCCCATGGATCACAGCAAGGAGCCAGAGAGGTCCAGGCCCAGGGTAGGAGGGAGCATGGCATGGGGTGAAGGCTGAGCCTGAAACCCCGAGTGCTGTGGGCTTCCTGAGACATCGCGCTTTTTCCTCCCTTTTCTGTCCAATGCCCTCAGGTGTTGTGGGCAGGTAAAAATCTGACTACAAGTGCTCACAGCCAAGGGAGTGGGAAACAATCAGTGGCTTCAAACAACTCAATAAGAGAATACATTATTCAGTTTTGAAACCACAAGACAACAATTTAAAAAGTTATATATTACACTAAGCATATAAACATAGTTTCTATTAATTTTAAAAGTTTCTGCTACAACAGCACTAACCATATTAAGGCCCTGAGTTTTAGCACATCAGCCTCTCCTGGACTTACTGTGTAGAAGCAAACCCAGGACACTGTGTATGAAAAAGCTCTGCCAGGGTTTTTCGCTAAAGCTTTAGAAGCACAGGTCTAAAATACAGACAAGGTTGCATGTGGTGCTGCACGCCTGTGATTCCAGTACTCGTGAGGCTGAGGCAGGAGGATCATCACACCAGGTCAACCTGGACTACACAGTGAGTTCAAAGTCAGAACTACAAAGTGAGATCCTGTCTCAAAAAACAGCCAAAACAATAGGCAAAGCAAAATCACTATTCCAAGCACTACATTACCCAAAACAATCCATTTTGCTTTTTCCATGGGGCCAGGAGAGACAGGCAATAGAACAGACCGGCAGGGCTGCACAGCAGAGGGTCAGGGGCATCTGAGGGTGGACGTGGATGAGAAATTAGGGCATGAGGCCGTAGGAAAGACAGCAGAGGGGCCGACTGATAAAGACAGGGACAGCGCTAGGGACTACGCAGGAGAGAGTTTTCGTTACACACTGCATCCTTGTTGGAATCTGATGCCAGGCAAAGACCCTCGAACAACCAAAGGGGAAGCTCAGCCCGTGCTTGAGTGCTCCAGCAGTGATGGTGGTGGCTGAGCGCGCGGCTCAGTCAAGGCCTTCGCCCACGTGTGTAACGCCCCACGGCCGTGACAACCCCGCCTGTGGTGGGGATCGAAGGGTCCCTCTTTTCCCTCTTGGGTGGTGGGAGCGCGTGTTAAAATGACATCTCACCCAGAGATAAAGCGTGTAGTACAGTGGTAAGCGTCTGCTCTAGCTGAGGAAGGTACCGGGCCACCAAACTCTTCTGGTTCCAGCTTCGAGAGGCACACGGAACTCCCAAGAATGTTCCGCAGAGAATCTCCAGAAGCCCGGCCCGCGCCGGTTCTTCACGCGTCCTGCTTCCCTGACTCCAGCCCCCGTGGTACCCCGGCGGCCCAGCCTCACCCTCCTTAGCTGCTCAGGAGCCCAAGAGGCTGCCATGGAGTCCTGAGGGTCTCCGCACCTCGCCCAGCCTCCGCTTGGCAGGCGGGGGCCTCCCACGACTCCTTCGGAAGAGAGCTCAATAATGTGTCTTTGAGAAGTGAGCCCCGTTTTCTGATCTGATTCCCAGCTTTGTTTTGAGGCCCGCAGGAGGCAGAGGCGGGACATTTCATCTCATTCTCCAAAGCAGGATGGAATTTTCACAGAGGCAAAGTGCTTTCAAGAGGTTTTTATAATCTCTCCACCAAAATCCAAATTACATGACCGCCACCTGACAGTTGTATAGTAAGCTGAGCCCCACCGGAGCCCTGCTGGATTCTTCATTAGTGACCAAACTCTCCAACTGTCTCATTTCCCATCATACCGTGTTTGTCCTCCTTGGTCCAGGGATTCCCAACTTGGTAAAAAGATCAAATACTGAAGAGTTGAAGACGTTGGAAGTTGTGCAAGCAATTTTAGTTAGTCCTCCATGAGCCACTGATCCAAAGGGTGGTATCACATGTGATCATGCTTATTTGTATTTGTGGAAGTCAGGTTCTTTTCTTTTTATTAGTTAAGTTTATTGGTACATTTTAGATATACACAATGATCACATTCATCATAGGGAATTTGCACCTGTACATGATGTATATTGATTCTTATTTTTTCCATTCCCCTACCCTCCCTTCAACCCCCTTTCCTCTCCTTATTTACAAAAGCTTTGTTTCCATTTTTCCTTCTTTTCTTATATTTTTCTTTCCCTTCCTTTCTTTCTTTGCCCCCTCCCTAGTTCCCTTACCCATTTGAACATTTTCTTCCTATTTCACAATATCTATCACATATTTTGGTCCTCATTTACACTTTCAGCTCTTAAACGAGAAAAACAATGCAATATTTAAACATGTGTCCAATTCATTTCATTTAAGAGTATGGTCTAGGTCCGGGGATTTAGCTCAGTGGTTTTGCCACCTGCCTCACAAGCACAAAGACCCGAGTTCGATCCCTGGTACAAAAAAAAAAAAAGGTATGGTCTCAAGGAGCATCCATAAATATCTCAAGTTATCCTTCTTTATGGCACAGAGTGCTCCATTGCACAAAAAACCCACATCTTCTCTATTTATTCATTGGTTGATGAGCATATGGGCTGTTTCCAAGATTTAGCTATTATAAACTCTGCTGCTGTGAATATGAATGTTATAAATCACTATGGTAGGATTCTTTCAGGAAGACACCAAGCAGGGGAATATCTGGGTTCTTGCTATTGTTGATTGTTTGCTTCACTGGTTTGGAGGATTCTTGTTTTGTTTTGATTTGTTGTTGCTTTTGAAACCATTGATTTGAAGGAAATTATGAGTTTGAAACAGAGTGGGGAAAAAGCATATACGAAATTGTCTAAAAACTAAGTTGTGAGCAGGTATCCACTTATAGAAATAGGAAGGATTTATCTTCTAGGCTTAGCACATTTTTCCTTGATTTTACAAGGGAGAAATAGTAGACAAAGGAGACTCTCACATAGCTTCAGTTGAGAAATCTAGATTCTGGCTTGTCATAAATGTGTGCTCAGCCTAGAAATATTTGAGGGAATATGAAAGAGGAAAAATGAGAACTTATTTTTCATTGTCAATGGGAACTTTAAAAAAATCAGCTAAAGTCAGAAAATTCTCTTGGGTTATTCTGGAAAAGACTTCTCTATATTGTCCTTATACATTGGCCAAAGGGCCAGGGTCTTGAGTCAGCAGCAATAGAAATACAACATGTGAAAGCATAGAACTGGTATCATCAAAATATCAGGCTTTGAATCACAGAGCATAAAGCTGTAAGTGTCTCTAGAAAGCCACAAACATAATCTCTCATTTAATAAGTGGGTAAGTAAAACTGAGAGGAGAATTAGGCAAAAAAATTAATTAAATAAGCAGTCTCTTCGCCTAAAAGAAAATGAAAATGTTTAGGTATGGCTATGTATATAAAGCTGCTCGTGTTCATTGGAAATGAAGTTTGCTAGTTAAAATAGCAAGATATAGTTTACATTCACTCTGTATTGGCAAAAATTTGAAATCTGACAATACCAAGTCATGGTGATGAAATGGAGAAATGGAAAAAAATCCAGCATGCCAGTCAGAAAATAAATCAGTTACAACAAATTTAGAATTCAGTTGGGCATAAAGATAAATGTAGGTGACTCTGGCCATTCCATCCCTAGGTCTGTATCTTAGAGAAAGTTCTGCAGATAAGCCTTTCACTAGTCCTTTTAGGCTGCTAATAGCAGATAACATTGTCTGGGTAGCTTACAAATCATGGAAATTTATTTTTCCCAGTTCTGGAGGCTGGGAAATCCAAGGTCAGAATGCCAACACAGTCAGTTTCTGGTGTGGCCCCTCTTCCACCTGAGAGAAACCAGAAGCCTGTGCAGAGGCACATCTGTAAAGACTAAGCTTCTTGTGAGAGGGTTCCATGTCTACGGCATACTCACCTATCAAAACCTACTGCTCATGCTATCACTCTGGGGTTAAGATCTCAGCACATGAATCTGAAGGTGGACACAAACCCTCAGACACAGTAGGTGCTCAATAGTTTTAATTCTATAAACTCTGCATATACTCTTTTATATGCATGTATGTCATCATTAAATTAAATCTGTAATTTTAAGGCAACAAACACAGCCTAGTAATGAATAAATTAACTAAGTTTTCCACAGTCAATGGCCACACCTGGACTTGAACCCACACAATCTAACATCAGAGTCAGGGCTTGTACCTGCTGTGACCTCTGGCCTGTAGCTATGCTACAGAATGGGTGCCACACTTCTCAGGTGTCCTCACCCAATCTCATGCTGCTACCTTCAAGTGGAAATGAAATCCACGTCTGTAAATCTGTAAGCACATTCTCAGTCTTTACGGGCTCAAGGACAGCATGAAAAGGAAGAAGAAGAGGAAAGAAGTGAGGGAGGGAGGGAGGACAACAGAAGGAGGGGTGGAGAAAAGAGGGAGCGAGCAGAGAGGAGGCGAGGGAGGGAGAGGAAGGGAGGGGAGAGAGAGAAACCCCAGGGAGCGACAGTACCTTAAGAACGCGCATGCGCTCCATGTAGAAGCGGCACAAAGTAGAAGTGTAAACTGCAAAATCTGTTTTCTCTTCATTGCTGTAGGCCCCAGAGCATCTGGTCTCATTAAAGGTGCAAAAGTCAAATATTCTCTTGAAAATTCTCTTTGGTATAGGAAATTAAGTTAAATTAAAAACATGACCTTTCTCTCAAACTGGCAAAAGTGACCTCGTTCCATAAGCGTGCTCACACCCTTCAGCAGTACATCAAAACCAGGCGCTGCTGTGGGACTTCTGCGGCCCTCGGCCTTCTCTGAGGCCCAGGTTGTTTGGCTCCATCTAGGCAAACGGGATCAGGTTCTTCATAAAAGCCAAAGGAAGAAGGTGATATCCGCCCGGGGAGGAGGGCTTTGGGTCTTCTCTAACAGTTCGCAGGCCATCCACTCAAAGCCAGCACTGCAAACAGCCTTCAGGCTGCTGCTGCACTCTTCACTTCGCAGGCAACTCTGGGGGCTGAGGGAGCTGCAGGCCAACTGCTCTTCGTCCAAGGCTGAGTCATGACTCAAGTGTCATCCTGAGAGCCCCGGCGCCGTCCAAGACTTGAGGCAGGAACACATACCTAGAGACCCAGTGGACCCTCGGTTCTGCCCATCCCCACCCCAGGCACAGACTGCAGCCCCTGCACAGAGATCTCCAGAGCAAAGGGGCACACTAGGCTGCTCCACCACCCGACACCGGGGGAAGTTTATGCTGATGCTTGCAACCCCACTCTTGCCTCAAGTTCTCTCTGGAGACCATTCTGGAGTCCAGACAGAAGGGCAAACAGGACTCTCCAAAGACACAGCAGCAGCAAGAACAGACCATAGCCCTTAGAGAGCAGCCCTGCAAGAGAGTGGTCGAGTCTGCAACACAGTCCCCAAGAGAGGTTCAGAGAGGGAGACAGCTTGGTGAAAACACACCACTGCAGTGCTACTGCTAGACACACAGACTCGATTGCCCAAACTTAGGAGATGGCTAAGAAAATTGGGGTCTAACTATATTATACTACTTAAAACAGCCTGTGTCCTGTGAAAAAGTCTGTCTTCCAACAAGATGTTTTTCGGTTGAATTGTTACTCCTGCTATTATCACAACCTACATATTGACTAGGACTTTACAATGTACAACAAACTTTTTGTCAACTGAATCTATCTCCCTTAATCAGTACAAATACATGAGTTAAATATTACTATCCTCACTATATAGATAAATAAATAGATGCTCAGGAAGATCCAATTAATGTCCAAGGTCAGAGACTTAGTAAGTGGCAGAGAAGAAACTCAAACCCAGGTTCTCATACTCTCTCCCCACAGCCCTTCGGGGTCATACACACCCACCAGTGGGAGCCGAGGGAGGAGATACACCAAAACATGGTAAACCCCATACAAACAGGCTTTATATAATTACGAAGGTCACTGGAAAATCTGTCTGATCAATACTGAGGACCAAAGGAGACTTCTAATGTGATCACGCTCGGAGACATTTGTGAGTCCGGGGAAGATCTCCCACTACCTCTAGCGCCCAGAGAGGGAGATAAAGCTAAAGGGAAGGAAGCTATATAAAAAGCAAACAAGGAAGAGGAGAAATAAAGAAGGAAGAAGAAAAAGGAGGGGGAATTTAATGCTAATGTCTTATTTCACAATTTTCACAACAAACATCCAACGGCTGAGAGTCCCTTTAAAAGTACACAATGGAAAACCAAAATCAAGCAGCACTAATATGTCTCCTTGTGGCTTTTAATTGCACAGATTAGTACAGAAGGCCACCTAAACCAGCTTCATTGTCTTCTGGGCGTGTTCCTCCTGGGTTAGGGGGAACATGAAGTCCAAGGGAACTGTGGGGAAGATGCCTATAGGGAGCGTTCCATGAAGAAGGGGAGAGGAGGGAGAAGGCCGAGGAGAGGAAGAGGAGGAAAAGAGGAAAAGCAGAAATACGAGTACACAAGCGAAAACATGTATGGAAAGACTGGTACAAAAGAGAATACGCTACCAGGCTCTCACTGGCATGAATGTGTATACGTGCATGTGCGTGCTTTGCATGCCACAGGACAGAGCGCATCAAGAGCATGAGCAGAGACGGCTGCCACGTCAGTAGCGAGCGGAGCGTGGCCTCGCTCTGGAGACCATGGCACTCGCGCTTGGTCATCGCCTCCCCTGCGCGCCTGCAGTCGTCGGTAATGAATCCAGGCTTCTCTACGTTTTCCATATTGAGCTCCTCTCTTAAAAAATGAAACTGGAGCGGCTCAGCTGTGTCTAAAGAACACCATAAATGGCGCAGTGTGTTCCCCGCACTCCGAAGTCTTCATTAGAGCCGTAGCTGTCCTGAACTATTTTGGCCTTTGACTTTATAGCACATGAAATTCCTACTGGTGTAGTAAACCAGTAACCAGTATTTGTGAAAACCGAATGAGGTTTATAAGCCTATCAAAATACCTCTTGTTTCTTGTAAATGTTTAGGAAACATTTCTGAAATGCTTCTGAAAGTTAAGGTCTTAAGATTTAGCAAGAACAGCAGCGTGGCCTCGGTCTTCACCTCGCTTCCTTCTGAAGAACACGAATCCTTCCACCAGCAAGGGCGCGGAGAGCCACAGGTACCTGCGCGGTTGGACCTGAAATCTTGCAGATGGCGCTTTCAGCCAGTGGCCTTGCAGCCACACCGGGAGCCTCCAGAGATGTGAGAAACGAAGCCAGAGAAGAGCCAGCCCCTGCCTAGGCAAGAGCCCTTGGCAACAGCCTGTCTCATCCCCACATCACTTCTAGAAAATCACTTCACAGCACTGCTCTTCCGCAGGGACTTGATAGAATGCCCACGTGCAAAACTTTTCGCGAGTCAGTGGGTTGTCAGTATTCTGAAGAACTACGGCTCTGACTATAAGCTACTGTTTGTAAGACAGAAGCAAGTGATGCCAGCTTCATTGAATCGTGATTATTAAATGAGAAAATCCATTGTTTCACACACACTGAGAACTCCAGCTATTATTAGTTCTTACTGCTGTTTTAAGAAGCCCTGATGGGCTGGGGATTTGGCTCAGTGGTTCTGCCACTATCCTCCAAAGCGCAGGGACCTGTGTTCCATCCCCAGTACCAAAAAAAAAAAAAAAAAAAACCCTGAACG